ATCGATTTGGGATCCATGTTTCCTGAAAACGGAATTTCTGAAAGTTGTTAAATTTCGATATTAGTAGGACGACATTAAGTTGAAGAGTTAAGATAAACTTTCAGAAAATATCTCGTTGAATTAGACAACGTTGAAAATCATTTTTTCTTAAAAATCTTTGTGAAACACAAGTCTGATTCTCAACATTTTCATCAGTGAAGAACGATAACGCTTAACATTCTTTTTCTCATCATTCATTAAATTGTTTCATCAGACAATGGAGTTGTCAATAATGGTACGAAAATGTTTCTTATTAAGCAATGATTATTATACGAGTAATATCAATCTTTTCTCTTATTTAGATGAAACCGATTTAAACGAATTGCGTTCACGAACAACACTCGATGTTAATATCGATCCATCTCACTTTTTTCGAAATGAACTGGCAAATGCTATTCGCGAAATTCGAGGTGAATACGAAGCATTAACGGAACATCAACGTTCAGATTTACAAAATCGTTATACGATCTTATATAACGAGACTGTTTCACAGTATACTCGTGAAAGTTTTGATCCTATTACGCAAGAAAATATAAGAAGTCAAGAACAAAAACTGAGAGAAACATTGGTTGTAAGTAAAAATGAAGTAGGTCATATGAGAGCAAGAAATGAAGAAATGAAAACTCGAATCAAAGAATTAGAAAGATGTTTTGAACAAAAACGAGAGCAAGGTAACATTGTCAGGTGAAGATAATTTAAAAGATGAGCGACTAGATTGTTGTATTTAGGTGACCGACTAATTCAGCGACTTTCATTGGATATTGAAGAATTGAAACGACGACTGGAGCAGATGAGTCGACAGTACGAAGAGGTAACGACTATGAAGACATCGCTACAAAAAGAAATAAATACATATAGAGACCTGTTGGACGCCCCTGGTGGTCTAGGAAATATCGTCAATCAAGCGCTCGAAGAGGCCAGAAAAGCGCAGGCTGAAAAAGAATTAAACAATATGAATGCTTCTCTAGCTTATGGCAGTGGGAGCGGTGGAACGCGTAGCAGAGTAATTCAACACACATATATGAATATGAGTGGCGCTACTAGTGGAGGCTCAGCATATACAGGGCTCGGGGGTGTACACGGAGGCAGTTTTAGAGCCCCTTCAAACATTTATAACACAATATCGAGTGGTTTTGGAGCGGGAGAAGAAACAGGCGCAAACGATTACAGATCGAGTGGTGGAAATGGTGCTACAAGCGGAAGTTATTCGTCTACGTCTACAATGCGTCAACAGTATTCATCTGCCCATTAGTAAAGGAAACATTAGTCATTTTTTTCCTATTTGTTAGCTAGAAGGTTCTAGCTATCTATGACTGCATTTTGCTTAATATTTTATATTCTACTTGACTTTTGTTTTCATGCTGGATTTAACAAAAATAAATTCATCCATACAGGATACCAACATGACCTTTCGATACAAGCGTCCGCTCCTACTCTTTCTTGTAAAGCCATAAAAATAATAAATTTCGACTTGAACTGCAGCTCTCTAGGTATTGCGACAACTAAGAAATCTTCATTTTACTTTCGCACTAAAACGCGGCTTTTGACTAACTTATAGCGCTTGCCCTGTCTCTCCTCCCGCTCAGAACTTAATAGTGTTTTTGTTTGAACGACTAACTCTTAATTGACAAAATATGTGAAAAATATTGTAGGAATCTTGCAGAAAAGACTTTGAACTTGTTTTTCAAGTATTCATACCCAGTTACTTTATTTTATCGTCAGCAACGACTTCCACAGGTAAGTTTTCATGCTGAATACAAATCTCACATTGATTCTCATGTTGTGACTGCATATTTTACTCTTTAGTCTAGTTTCTTGATGGATATACACTATCCAAAAAAAGTGACTCGGCTGGCTTCGAAATGCATCCACACCGCGTTTTGAAGGCACATTAGGTGTATTTTTTCATCTTTTTACTAGACATCGAACAAAGATGGGAAATGTAAGAAAATGTATTTACAATTTCTTACATTTTACAATCTTTCTCAGCTGACCAGAAGAAAATTTTCTTCTGGTCAGCTGAGAAAGATTGTAAAATGTAAGAAAATGTAAGAATTTGTAAATACATTTTCTTACATTTCCCATCTTTGTTCGATGTCTACTGTTAGTCAGCTTCTCTAGACAAAAATCATTTAATAAATGGTGTATATTCTTTTAATGTTTGATCATATGGTTTACTATTTGTAGCCATTTGTATCCAATTAGCTATTATATTATTTGAAAATTGTCTTGTCTGATTATCCCATGTACAATTAGGTGTTGAATTTGAAAATATATATAGTAATATTTACGTCTCCATTCGTTCAGCCATCGCCGGAGGCGAAATAGTTTTTAGGTTCTTACAGCTACTACCGTGAGAAATGTTTTAACCAGCCGTCACGGACTAATGGTCGGCTCACACCTCTACATGTCTGTGACCTATGAACCGCGGTGGCTAGTAGCTTTGGAGTGGTTAGTATATCGATATGTATCGTATCAGTTATAATAGGCCGCCATTATCCAAAAGTTGTGTAGTCATTTGTTGTTGTTGTGAGTCTACATGCATATAAGTATACTAAGAGAAAAAAAATAGTAGGAGTCAAGGAAACCTCCATGGATCACACTACTAATGAGATAAATAATTATCTCAGTTTTTCGATATTGTTTCAGACATGTGTTCCGTTCCCACCATAATAAAGTTCATTAAAAGAGTACAAAAGAAAAACTCCATTTAATATGGCTATAAGCAGGAGCAATCGAAAACTAAATTTCGCTCAAAATCACGTACACAAGACCCATAGTTGTTGTACAGATGAGCTCAAAACTGAGTAATATATGAAAAATATTATCTAATCTTGAAGATCAATTTTCTCGTCCGATACTTCTCAAGATTTTGGCACTCATATACCAATGATCAATATTCATGTCAAGGCTTGACATGAATATTGATCATTGGTATATGAGTGCCAAAATCTTGAGAAGTATCGGACGAGAAAATTGATCGTCAAAACTCGCCATTTTTTATACG